TGGAGGGGACCGTCGATTCGAATTGGCAACTTGTCGTCTCGTAGTAACTAGCCCCTTTGTCGGTTGGCCGCTGTACAAGAGGTCGCGATGGGCTGAGAAGCAGCAAGTCGGGCTTCGGACCAACGAGATGGCGAGGTTCCTCGGGTCGAGCCAGCGGCTGGGGTTTCGTACGGGGGGGCGTGTCGGTAAGATGGGCAGATTGGCCTACTCCGTGCGGAAGCCGTAGAGTGAAACGAGCGGATGGAGAAGAAAAGAAAGGAAGAAGGAGAGCAGTAGAGAGAAAGAAAAGGAGAGAAAAGGAGGACGTGGAGTTGTAATGGGGGCGTCTGGCAGAACAATCCAAACCACCCGCTTCAATGCTCTCTTCTCTGTTGGGCACAATGAGGGAGGGACGGACGGGGGGGGGGGCAAAAGAGAGAGGAAAGGAGTCCTGGCCGTGGCTGCTGCTGCTGCTGCTGCTGCTGCTGCTGCGCACTCTGGTAATACGTTCTCTGATGGTAATGATACGTACAAAGTACTACGTACTCTCGCGGATACTGGAATAAGGTATTAATTAATACGCACCCTGTATTAATGGTCGTACGAGGATTAGAAAGTCCTCCCTCCGCAGAGACTTGGCCATTGAGAGAGTATACGTACAATAAATACGTATATGGAACGACTAGTGGATTGGCTTCCGTGGCTAGGGCGCTTCTCCGTGGTGGGTTAGTGATCCACGGGGCGCAGGCCCTTGTACTAGCAGCCGTATGTACTCTGCAAAGCCTGTGCTGTGCGGGCGGGCAGACCAGTAGGTACAGGTATTCTGTAGGTGGTGTATTTCCAGGACTGCACCGCGACGGACAGTGATGTAGGTGCCCAAAGCCGCCTCTGCTGGGACCTCTAACGGTCTTCCTCCAGGGACTCAGGTACTGGAAGGAAGACGGGTCAGTCATAAACCTGAACCCTGCCATCATGGAAGTGAGCCGCAGGAGACCGTGTCTCACACCCGGGGTGGCTCTATCCTTCTTGTACTCACATTACACAAGTCGCAGTCTTGATCCTGGCACTGGTAAACTGTCGGTTCCTCTGTATGCAATTATTTGGCATTGGCAAGGATGAAGAGACGTCGGTTGTCTGTTTGTTTCTGTTTCAAATGGTTCGGGCTCGGACTTGTCCGAATCTGATTTAGAAGAGCCGAGTTTTCGATTCCCGTCACCCACCCTCTGCACCAGCGGGAGAGAAAGTCCGCAACAGGCAGTGGTGATACGATGTAATACTGCCAGTATATAATAATACAGGGCGAATATATAGACACGTACTGGTGCTATAACGCCGGCCGGTGGTCTCGCGTTCGCAGATACCACAGATACGAGGTGTGAGGGGCGAAATGTTTGGTACAGAGCGGGGTCCCGGGTTGTGCTGTCGTTCGCCCTCCCGGGGCAACGATATCACAGGCGTATACGGTATACGGTAATAGACCGACGTCGTCGTAGTTGACTCCGTACGTCGTAACTGGTCCGGTGCATATAGACCGGAGAACGAAGGATAGCAATGGTTGGCACGGATAACAGTCTGTATAGTCTGTCAGTCCCCTCTGCCCCCCTCCCTGTGGTATGGTGCGAGCGGATTGATTGTCTTCTCGTGACTCGTTTGCTATGGCGATGTGAAACAGCGGCGAAGGGAAGAAAAGGGGAGGGAAACACGTACTATTCTCTGGCACTACTGTCGGAAAGACAGAATGCATGCCCTCCAAAGCAAAACGGGCTGCCAACTCGACGAATGGAGGCGGATCTCACGGAAATTGAGGGGTGAGCGGGCGGTGGCGCGCGATGGCCAGGGAGAGAGAGGGGGGGGGAATGAGTGAGACACGGAGGGGGCAGATATCAAGCACGGAAGGAGGCAGACAGGAAAAGGAAAAAGGAGATGGAAAGAGCGACCAAGTGTAGCATACACGTTCATATCACCTACGAGTGCTGCGCGACTAGCCTGGCTCTTTACAAGGGCATTGAGCATTGGGCATCATTCTCGCCAGTCTGCTAATGTACTCCGTATAAGAAGACCATCTCACGGGTGGGTTCGATATTTCTTGTTTGTCGTCGGAGGCGCTTCTTGTCATCGGGTTATCACACCCCCAAGAGTGGTTGGTCCGGTCAAAGTATGGCAAGTAAGAGCTCGTATGTTAAATCTTCGGCTGCGGCTCCCCCTCCCCCCCCCCCCTAAAGGACATATATACGCACGCACGGATGCATATTATTACGTCTGTTTCTCATATATAATCCGTACTATCAAAATATTGCCCTGCTAGTTCTGTTTAATGCTCGTAACCTGGACTATCCATTTTCATGTTTGAACCATGCCAATGGATAAGCAAAACAAACAGGAAAGACGTTGCTGGGCACGCCGATGATGCCGGACGAGGCTGTGCACCGCACCCCTGGCCACGCCCCGCCCGGGGTAATACTAGGCAATACACTTTGACGAGATTACCACTAATACCAGTTTTTTCAGTGCTTCTTTTTTTCTTTCTTCTAAAAAAAAAAAAAAAACAAAAACAATTTTGCTGATGGGTAATTGAGAAGGGGCACATGCGATTGCGAGTACGTCCGTCCTATTTAGGCCCTGGGACGGGCAGCGAGGCAGCCGATGGATACCAAAAACGGTTCTGTCCGTTCGTGGGCAAAAAGAAAAGTCGGACATGCATCACGGTCATTGTCATCCTACCCTGCGACTGTCAGTATCCGTGGGACCAGAGAAGAGCAGAAAAAGAAAAAGAGAGAAAGGGAGAAACACCATGAGTACTCAGGCAGCGGTACACGATAAAGATATCTACACGCAATATCACTACGGGAGGTGGAACGAGTAGCTATACAACAACTTTTAGATCTTTAGGATCAAACAAAGCCGTCGCCGTCGTGCTTCCGGGTTTCGCTCTGCCAATCGTCGACGACTAAATCGCCATTCGGAATATCAGTAGGCTTTTACTCGAACCCCCCCTACCAGTCAGTATAAAGAATTTGTACATATAGATAGAATAGTGATACCATCTTAGGCTCGATGGGGTGTGGATACAAGGATCCTGGTGAATACACATACATGTAAAGCACATTGTAGGGAGTTATTGCTGTGCGCAGCGTACGAGAGTACTCGTGGTTGATGATACCCACCCACCCACCTGCACACTCACACACACACACACATGCTCGCACGCAAATAAGTAAACTTGGCGACTCATGGCAAAGCTGCTAAGCTCTTTCCTGGCTTTCAGCCAAAGGGGATTCGAAAAGCCGTTATACCTGCATTATCCGTAGCAGCGGGTTCATCACCCCTCACCTCCCCCCCTCTCTCCCCATCTGTCTCCTGGGCTATGCATCTACCTACCAGAGAAATTGAAGGCCGACAGAGGGGCATCCTCAATCTGATCGATAATGCTAGCCCAAAGCACACGCGGCTCAAGGATTGCTGTAAAGGAAAATTGAGAAGAATGAAAAGAAAAAGATAAAACCGGATAATATTGGCTCAAGGCGAAGAGCAAGAAAAAAAAAGGTTGCGGATACGAGAAAGGGGGCGTAAGGGCCACAGGTACTAGCTACCCTTTGAGTATAGTATGGTAATATCTTGGGGGTGGTAGGGTCGCCGATTGGTCAGCAGTCGGCTCTTTTCCCCGTATACGCCAGGGTCTGTGTGCATAAGCTTTGGGACGCAAATAGCCGTTTTCTTCTGTCTCTTTTCAAGTTTGTGCGCATTTTTCTTCTCCTATTCTATTCTCTCCTCTCTCTCCTCTTCATCCTTTCTTTTTTCAGGGAGGGTTCCTGTTATCTCATCTTCTCGCTACTCCTCTTGAGTCTCATGTGGTGTGATGATGGCCAAGATGGTGGCGGAGATAGTCACGAAATTACCTGTCCACAACACGCAACAAGTAATATCATCATGTAGCGATACTCGTGGACATGTGCGCCTCGATAATA